CTGATAAGCTCTTTTTCTTTAACAAATTGAAAATATTACTTGTTTGAGTGTCTGACTTCTGTAAACCAAGTGTGAGCTGGAAGAATGAATTGTCCTTTGAATCAGCCTTTTCAGTTGGGTCAGAGATTGTATTGCTGTACAAATCCTCAGTTTCTAGAATTGATAACATTCGTTTTTTCTTTGGGGGTGATCTCATAAAGTGGATTGAGCCAATCGGAATTGCTTCTGAAATTGGAGACAATAACTCTTCTGTTTTTGAGTCTTCGATGATATTACTGTTTTTCAGGAGGTTGCTGCTCGATCTTAGTAGTGTCAATGCTTTTGGAGATGCTCCTATTTTGGAAACTTCACATGTCTGAACGTCTAATTGGTTTTCTACACCTTTAATACTGTTTCTAGAATCACGTTCTAAGGCTGTTTCTAAAAATCTATAAAGGGAAGGCTTCTCTTTATCCAACATGTAGTCTCCCAGTGAGCTTGTATCCAAAGTAATTTCGTGCTTGATTTCAATGTCTTTCATCAAAATAATAGATTTACCAATGCTAATAATTTTATCCTTAATGTTCGAAAATATGTTTGGAATTTTAAATTGAGTAAATCCTTCCGTCCAAAATAGAGGTGTTTCGATGTTTAAATTGTCGTTCTTCGATATCATAAATTCTTGGAATTTGTCTTGAATTACTCCTTCGTATATCCACGAGTCCATTATTGACAAGTAAGATTTTAGCATGGACATCAGTAATCGGTAAACAAAATCATATTCATCAGTATTTTCGATATTCAAGTATTGGAGATGGGTGATCTTTTCATAGAAGCAGGATACAATGTCTGATATGGCATCTCTTTGAGACATAACATTGTCAATAATGGAATCTATTTGAGAGTCTAATTTTTGAGTATGTTCACTTTTGTTCAGTTCGAAACATGAGCGTACGTAAACTTAGTAACGATAGTGTTTGAACCTTATCTTTCATATTTCCTAATTGATTTTGTCGCTCCATCTCCGAAAGGTCGCTCCTAATTTCTAAAATAATATCTAGTAGAGTTGAATAGTACGATTGAAGTATTGTACTTTTTACAGAGTGTATGTTTCGTATACACTTCACATGAATTGATTCCAAATCATTTGAAATTTGTATGAAAAATTTTAAAACTGTGTGAAGTAAAGTTCGTGAAATAAATGAAACAGAAATATTGGGATGGGATAATTCAAAAATCCCTGGTAGTTAATATTGAATATGGATCCTTCATGGCCCCTAAGCATGGAAAATATTTCTCTTATCAAATCATGCTGTTTTACCATGTGATTGCAAGGAGTCAAGACTCTATAATTTCCTAGAGGAGGTGTTTGTGATATTTTGTATATGGTATAATGTTCGAATAGTTGCTGATGTGGAAAATGAGTGAAGGGAACATGAACAGTTATTAATTTGTTCGGATCAAAATGAAGAGAATAATACAATTCTTCAGCTGCTATGGGCACTGATTGATGAAAATTATTGATACATTCTGTTGGTGGGTGATCATTGCCTGAGCCAAAAGCCATTCATCATTGAATTTCGTGTCATCATTGTCCTGTAACTTTTCTCCATCATTTTCCTCCAATGTTCCAAATAAACCCGAAATATTATTCGACAATCCGTTCTTTGGTATGAATGAATCCTCAATGATCGGGAATGGTTGTTTTTCATTTTGATTTTTCATTTCCATGAATTGATTTTCCTCTTCATCCCCTTCCGACCAATCACTCAATTCATCATCGGATTTACTATCAGCAAATGATTTCTTGTATTCTTCCAATAAATCATCATCATCCCACACTGGCACCATCCTATTCCTTTGGCGGTCAAATTTTTTTTTTTCGGACTGCATGAGAAAAACTCGCATCCTTGGCCAGTGTGAACAGCCAAGCAAAAAAAATAGTGAATTCAATATTAATTGATTGGTGTTTGGAGTTTTTAAGAATTAAATCATGTGGACGACACAACAACATCAATCTCCGACTTCACCTCTCACGAATCAACATCATGAATTTATTATTCCCACAAATGATAATTTTGCTTCAAATTTAAATGATGGTACAGCAATGATGAATAATGATGGTGTTATCGACACCACTGCGTATCATCACAACATGAGATCCAATAGTAATAACAATAATAATACAAATAGTAGACCAACACACCATCATTCTCTATCAGGAGCAGCTAGACATGTCTTTCTTCATTCTCATGACTATTCGTTATTTAGAAAAACGGAAAGACTTATATGGCAGTTAAATCATCTTCACGCAAATGTGAAGCAACTCATTCAAAAGAGCGAAAGTAGTGTGAATACATCCCATGTACCTTCTCCTTCATCCCCATCTCTAAGTACCCGAAATATCCAAGTCATTGCATCATCTGTAAAGCATCAGAAGGAGCTGTCCATTCGAAGGAACAGATTTTTACGCAATAACATCCATCTGTTGGATATTCAATCATCACATTTTCATCATCATTCTCATCCTTCCTTTGACGAATCAGTAGTTGGATTTACATCTAGTATCATTTCATCAATTAATACACCTGAATATACCAACGAAAGGATAAATTCCATCCAAAATTCTCCTACATCCATGTCCGAAGAATCTCTTATCGGCCAATATCATCATGGAATTGCTCATCCATTTACTGGAGATTTGTCACTTCCAAGAAGTATGAGCATTGACCAATTAAACCAAGCAACAAACAGTGGGATAGTTAGAAGCATCAGTATTGATCAAATTCATTACAATGGTAGTAATAATCAAGGTGGAGTCGTAATTTTACCCTCTCACATTTATGGTGACCAAAGTGGAATGTTTTCTTCTTCACCTAAAGGGGTTCACACTCTACATGAATCATTCAATAGCATTGAAATTAGTTCAATCGCATCCAATGACGAATTATTTGGCTCTGAGGAACATAATTCCTCAATGGAGCTCCTACCAAGCACTCTAGTTCACACTATTTATTCCAAGTACGGACTCGTGCTAACAATTGATATTAGTCCCTCAATGCTTGCTATGGATCCAAAAACAGGAGAAGTACTGTTTGACAGAGTATTTATTTCCATATCCAACGTTATTACACATTTAATTCAGCCATTAACCATACCTAATTATAACGGTGAGATTATTCCAGAGCTTCATGTTACTTGTGTTGCAATTGGTATGGCAGGAAGACCAGTTTTTTCTCTATTTCAAGATTGCCACATTACGACCTATAACTTAAATGAAATGCTTGGAAAAATTTATCAGCAATTATGTGATCTGGAGAATTTAGCCTCTACCTCTCTAAAAATTCCAAAACTAACGATAATTTGGCAAACAATTTAAAATTCAGCCAATATATTAAGGATTCACTGTTAGCATTGGAATTTCTTCCTCCTGATGCATGCCCAATATTTATGTTAATTAGTGACAGTGTATTCAACCTCTCTGACTTGCATTCAGATATTATGTTTGATATCAACCAACGTGACGTCAGCGTTGCTATTTTAAACATTACATCTCAAAGCAACGGTCATGGACATCTTTATAGTTATGTGCCTGATTCCGAATTGATTGAATCATTAGTCACATGCACCGATGGAGTTTACATTGATTTTGATTACATATCAAACTCAGATAATGAAATTAACGAAAAGAAAAAAACAAAGGCGCTTCAATATAACCTCCTTCTTAAATCTCCATCGATAATGATTGCAGACAATGAAAGCTTGATTTTATCAGCTAACGAGGGTAGTATTTTTCCAAGCATACCTTCTGATTCAATCAAGAAAGACATTCGAAAGAATTTTTTTGAATATGATGTACTGACCTATACTCTTTCCATGACAAGCGTTGATCCAATTTTAAAGAAAAGAGCAACTCAAGGATTTAGAATTACTGACATCAAGTATTCCACTCCAACTGACAAATTATCAAAGTTCAAAGCTGAAGACGAAAAGTTGGATTTAAAGTATGTCAAAATGAGCATGCTTTATCGAAGGAACGTAGAAATAATATACAAAGTGCATATCGAAAGATCTGGACCAGGTATGGAAGAACAAGATCTTGATGTCTTGACTTCGAATAATTTTACGGGGTTCGGAATCTCAAAATCCAATAAGGCTAAAATCTCAGTCACCATAACTGTCTTCATGCACAAAAACAATTTAGAAAAATTTAAAACATTCCTCAAAAAACGAACGAAAGAACCTTTTCTAAAATATCTACAGGAGTATATTCAGTCTATCAACATTGAAGATGTTCTCATTGAACAGTATTTTAACTTGTCAGAGAATTGTTCTGGACTCAATCGATCCTCTATAAGAAAAATGGACATTCCCAATATTAATTTTGAACATGAAAGAGAATTCTTCTTTGAGACACAAAAACTAGCACTTTGTTTTAACACTGATGAGAACATTTTTAAGTCAGACACAACCATACAAAAATTCTTTCTACAGCCCAAATGGGAACTAACGATGCTTCTCCTACTGTACAAAACAATGTAGCTCTCTTCAAATCGTTTTGCGAGAATGCTTGGTGCTCTACAAAAGTTTCAGACGATATTTTTATTTTATTTATTTCTGAGCAAGACCACACATGCTACATGTACGACACTGTACACGATACCTCTCTATTAACGATGGAAGAAAAAGATACCTCTGTTTCTTGTGGATTTTGTTTATTGAAAATTGTGAAATCATATACATCCATTGTAGAACTGAAATTTCAATTTTTCAATGTTTCCTCCTTCACAATATTTAGAGTTCTAAGACATTTCAAGGAACAGTCTCTAAAGCTTTTCTATCAAAGAAATATTCATGCACATTTCATTGAAAACACTGCTTTCTCAGAAATTGTGGCAAGACTTCCAATTTGTAAAGATGATGAAACTCAATATCTCCAGTCGTTATTCAGTCATCCTCCGCATTTTACTTCGTACCTTAAGCACAAAAATTGGATATGGCCTCTCGGAGGAAGACTTAACGTTGCAGCGATTTTATCATGCTTATTCGCGCAAAGGTTAAATGAAGGCTTTTCTCTGGTGAACACTAGACAATCTGTAGTGTTTGTCAAGGAGTTAGAAATCACGAAAATCAATTATTTCTCGAATACTGACTTTTTATCAAAGCTTATTCTGTTTTATTGTATTCATATTTTGAAGAAAGAGAAAAAACTCATTACAGAGGTGTGGATTGAACCGCAATCAGGCTATGTTACCTATACCAATGGAATGCAGGTTGATTCGAATCAATTGTGTACAGATTTATGTGAAAATTGGTTCTATAATCTAGACTTACAAATTATCTCATTGTTCTCTACGTTTGACAGCATAGTAGCGGCTTGTAAATCTGGTAAAGGCAATAACAACTCTATCACTCTTTTCCAGCCTGAGAAACCTGGTACCGTTACTCCTTTTAACTTGAAAGGCATTTTCGAACGTTCTGAACGGCAAAGCTTGAAATTTAAAGTATTTAAATTTGTGACTCATACTGACACTGACACTGAGATAGCAAAGAAAAGCAATATTGCTTTGTATGACCGACTTTTGAAAATTCTATGCAATATCAATGATGTTGAAATAAGTATTGACAAGATACCTCTAAATTTGGATATGAAATCTCGATGCTTTGCAAGAACATTTGAAAATGTTGGATCAGACAAACAAAAAGATTTCCTTATAACCATAGTGCCTTCTCATGTAACTGGAGAAGAAAAAGATTTCACTGTCATTGTATGCGTTTGTACAGAGGATCAGCTTCTATTTGTGGACAAGTTGAAACGAAACGAAAATATGGAGCATGTAGTTTGTTCTAAATATTCTTCTATTGTTCATCGTCATCCCGCATTGACACACGACGAAGAACACGCACTTGCTTCGTCAGCAACGTATTGTGACTTTGTTACAAACTTGCATGCATACAGTTTTACCTATGGAGTTTACAAGTATTTGAACCAAAAATTAACAATAGATCGAGAAAGCATAGTTTCTGCTGTTGAGTCATGCTATGAGTATAGAGAAGAGATTGATCTCACCGAGTTCTTTGAGGCCATTTTATTATCTAGAAACTATTTCTTTGAAAAATCCGAAAATGAGACTACTCCCTGTGAGAACATGGTTAATTCGTTCAAAACAATAATCGAGAAGTACTTTGAAGAAATCAGAGGAACCAAATATCATTTTTATCTGCGAGAAACTTCTATTCCCAAGTCTACAAAAACTGCTCCAAAGCCCATAAAGAAGAAAAATAGCGTGAAAAGTTTTGATCATCTCGAAGAAATTGATAATGAGGAAAACTATGAAGATGTGTCAGATGATGAAATACATAGTTTTCATAGTGGTGACGACGAAACCTCACACTCTCTTTCCAGTCTTTCTGCAGGATTGAGAGATTTACAAGTATCTGATCATCAATCAGACTCTCTCACTGAAAGTTCTGGCTCTTCAGTTAGTGATACCTTTAATTTAACGGAACTTGAAAATTCCACTCTTCCCGTATTTATGAGAATGGAGTGTGTGTTAACTCCAATTACAAGAGGAAAAGAAGAATGGAAGGACTTGGAAGTGTTGGATGATTATGGAAATGATATTAAATTACCAATCAAAACCATCCCAATAGAGAGAATTTCAAAGAATATTAGGTCTAGCAATGGCGATTTTTCAAAAATTTCTTCTGCATTTGGTGAGAAAGAAGAGGATAGCGAAGAGGATGATGAATCAGCAGATTTTACTCCAAGCAAAATTAACACAGAAATGGATTTCGATTGGATTAATTCCTTGAACGCTGTAAAAACAACTTTGAGATTTTATTGCATTACGCTACCACCTGACAAATATTATGCTTCATTTAACGGATTTGAGCCTTCAAAGAAGGATGTTTTGGGAATGTTTAGAAATCACGTGTCTGACACCCAATCCGCCTACGCTAGAAGTAAATTTGAGCAAGAAGACGATGCCTATGAGGAGGATACAACAGATGAAGCAGCTCCTTATTTAGATAAGGGCTATCTTCCAAGACATATCAGAAGAATTGTTTCAAGAACCAAAAGACGATTACAAGCATTAGTTTCAAAAGAAATACTGAACGCGCTATTGAGAACCCATCCAATTACTTCATATTCCATTAAGAAAGTTTTTGATAATGTAGAAAAGCTCCCCTCGTCATGCTATCAGCAACATACTATTCCATTATTTTTTATTGACCAAGTTGAAGGTGTTAAACTCTTCCATCAAGAGCTGTTGAAATGCAAAAATGTTGTTTTCAAAAGTATTGACAATCATTATGTGGTTTATTTTCGAAAAGAAATTGCTGCCAAAAACATGCCATGTTTGAAGAGTATGACAGAAAGTGCGAGCAAGAAACATCACCTGGTGAGGTATCAAACAAATTCAAAATTTTCAGCAAGGAACTTGATGACTTGGATATGACCATGTTTGATAATGACACAGAAATGGAACGAAATTGTATTGAAGCACCATTTTGGATCATTTTAAAAACAGAGAGCAAGAAATCAATGTCCATGTTGTTTTACTCACCAAATACTCTCTCAATTTCGCAGGCCAATGACGTGGTCAATCTCATTTTCAAAGCAGTTAGAGTGGTGTGTAAGAGAGTGAATACCCTGCTTCTTCTCTCCAATTTGCACGATACCAGAATATGTAGCTCGTTACTTCTTCCTGTTAGAAAAGATAAAGACAAGAAAGCTGTCTCTGAAGTTAGTGTGCTTGACAAGAAGTTTTTACGTAAGGACAATGAAAAACCAAGCAGTGACAATTTTAATGAGGGAGATTTTGCCTGCAAAAAAACTTTTGAAATTTCATTTCCACTTCATAGCAGGTTATCCACTGCCATGGCCATTAACCACTTGAATCAAGTTGTTTTCAATCCCTTCATTGTTGCTAATAGAAGTGAGATGTTTGTGTACAAGGAAAGGAGTGGTCGTGTTTTTTATCTTCAGCTCACGGATGGAAACAAACAATCTCCTACTACCGTACAGAGTCCAAAGGATGAAGAATCTCCAACTCTTCCTGTTAGAGATGAGCAGGAACACAAAACCAAGCTTAAGGAATATTCCATTTCTCTATCTAGCATGGGTCAATATCTTTATGCTGAATTGGATATTAAGAGCAATGTATCTTCTGTTGTTCTGGAAGTTTATGGTGTTTATCCGCCTAGCATTGAAATTACAACCCAACTGAAAAACCTTATTGAAGCAAAGTTATCTTCACTCACTATGAACATTATATCCAATTTATTACTCAGAAATAGACAATTTAAAATCAATATTGAAGATTTACAGTTTATCAGACCATTGCTTTCACAGCCTCAGAAGAGTGTGGTAATTAGCCTTCCAAAGTTTATTAACAATAAGTTGCTTTTCATGTTATTTGCCAGAAATAACATGTTGACCTACATGAATCAATTATACCTGACTAGTAGTGATGAATCGGCGGAGAGTCCAAGCAACCTCTCGTATATGTCCTTTACTGAAGATGAGGAAGATGATATGGTTTTCAAAGCAGCTGATTTTTCATTTTTATATAACTCGGTCACTCAGAACACATATTCAAGAGCCATGACATCTCAGGTCAATTGTAGAGGTATTGCCTGCGTACAAATGACACTTCTAAATCAAGACGGAGAGATGGTTACTGTTTTCCCTTCAATGAAAGAACCATACACTTGTGATTTGACTGGTGTGTCCCAATTGGGTCTTCTTCAAGAGGAGCCGTCAAATATAGCTTATACAGATTTTGGAGCTCCTATCCTTCGTAAAGAAGGCAGCACTTCAGATGATGAGGACGATGAAGAAAATGTTATTGAAAAAAGTGCCTCTGCAGCTCACCGAAGTGATAATGGTAAACTACTACTGGAAGTGTGGAAAAAAGGAGATGTAGACCTAGCTTCTCTTGTTGAAAAAATTTGTTTCACTCTTAACCAAACACTGATAGATTATGTTGTCGAATGCGGACTTTTCACATTGCCTGTAAATCTGGAAGGATTCAATCGTTATTTTTGGTAAGATTACAAACTCAGGCCATCAAGGCAGGTAGAATAAGCTCTCCCACATTAATGGAGCACAGAGCTGCCCTATTTTTACCGCTGTGGGAAATGAATAGATTTATTGGAGATTTACACAACTTGTTGTCTGCATATAGCTTTAAACTGAGACCAATTACCTTTGTCAGCAAAGATGCAAGACAAACATTTGCCAAATATTCAAGAAGCAATGATCTTATCGAACAACATCTAGTCGATTCCAGCAATGTTTGTTTTGTTATGATGGCTGGTAACTTTTCTGTTTCAACTGATAAGGTTATTAACCTTGGTGAAAATATCAAAATAGGGGATATCATTTCTTTAGATGGGTTTAGTTACAGAAATTCGATCAAGTATACAAGAAAATGCTGTATTGTTATAATACTAACAAGTGCCGAATTGCAAGTTATTGCATACAATTGGAAGCCCCAACAATTTGAAAAGTTCAAGTATCATTTGCACCAAACGGTGTCCTGGTTGAGATGTAGAGCTCACTTACTCAACAGCATACTCCATCAAAAGTTGGGTCTCTTTTATCACTCACATTCGAGTAACTTGGCAACCGTTCCGACCAACCTAATGATTCCTCTTGGTAAACCACAAAAGGAAGTACAATTTGCATTCAACAACATTGATTTACTCATTTACAATAAGCAAAGTGCTCCGAGCGATCCAAAGACTTCCAATGCAGTAAGAAGAACGACCCCTTCAGCAACAGCCGTCACAACTAGCAATCCTCCAACAAGCATGAATCCACCAAAACCAATTCTAGACATGAGAGGAGGTCAAATGTACAACCGGTTTAAAAACCTAGGCGCGAATCCCACACTAGTCTCCTCGTCTACGAATGACATGTCGGTAAAATCCGATATTCAGAAAGTCAGAAAAGAGAAAAAACCTCCATCAAGCAAAAATCAATTTGGATCACTGCTGAAAGGAATATTCGATTTAGATAAGGTACCTTGCAAACAACTTGCTAAGAAAACCATGAATGACAACAAACCACGTGATCCACTGCTTATTCATGGGCTTCACTTTAAACACATTGTTCACCAGAATTACAAAAAGAATGTTGAACAACAACAAGTGTCAAAGATTTATGGATTTTGGAACAAATCTCAATCAACCAACCTAAAATCGAGGGACTTCCAACTCATTAAGAATACCTCAAGACTTATCCACTTTTGCAGAGTGCCCCTTCTTTTAATCCTTTAAGAAGAATATTGTTTGGTTCATCATCCTTTATTTCCTCATCTTCAGCTGCAATTATTCAACATATTGACAGTGTTGAGGGCGTTCCAGGTGCGGAAGAACAGCAAAATAATAACCTTCGTGAAATTGGTTATCATAGAAAAGTATTTGAATCATTCTTGAGTGAATACGTAGAGTATATCAAGTCTTTGGATATTTCTGATGTTTTCTTGCATCCTTCAGATCAACATGACTCGTCGCCATTGTTACCCTCGACACCTAGTGATATGAATCTAATTAATAACTCAATGGACAAAGACAAAACAAGACCACAGCCCACTCCGCTTGTCCAAGTGGTGGGAAATCAAATCATCAAGCTCCAACCAACCACCATTTACTTCCATAAACAAATGGACGATGGAGTACTATTCCTAGAGTTGGGTCTCGACAGCATTTACGTGTATCTCAATGTTTATATTTCTGACATCACAGTTCAAAGACCTTCATTGTTGAACCCTCGTGCCTCAACGAGAGGAGAGTTCTTGAGAAAAGTAAGCCAATTCAAACACTCACTTCACATGAATTCGTTTTCATATGATTTCCACTTGAGAAACTTTTTGAATTATCTAACAACAGATTACTCTGGATTTCCATCTACTTTGAGCTTTATGAGTTTATTGAAAGACTTTAATCAATTTTATCCAAATCCTCCGCCTCATACTAGAAATATTTTGCATTCACATACTATCACTTTTGAAAATGTTAAAGACATTGCAGAGATTATGCGAGAAAAGGCAACAGCACCTAAAAGTAGCATGAAATCACTCGAGCGGGGTCGATCTTATAGCACTGAGAGGCGAGAAATGCTGAATGATCCTTTCCAATTCTTCTTTGAATATATTTGCAAAAACTCTGACAAGTACAAGGTTAAATTCAGCCAAAAGAGCAAAGAATGTTTCATCCTTGATACATACATTTCTCATGAAGAAGCAGATTACTCGTACTGTGTATTGGTCACCAAGTCAGTTGTACATTCGGATTCTCATACCACTTTTTCACATTACGGCAGCGCATCAAATTCTTCATCAAGATCTCCAAGCCCCCAAGAAGAAGACAGTACAATGAATCTCACCATGTATATTGTGTTTGTCGATGCAACCAATAGACATCCATATGATAGCGAGATAGAAGGTTCTAAAGATAACATGTACAAGGTAGTTACACAAATGGCTCAACAATACGAAAGAAAGTTGGCAAATTTGCTACAAAGTGTCAAAAATTCGTTCAAACTGGAAATATTGTGGGATATGGCTCTCAAATTCAGGATGAGCGAAAATTTATTCAACGAACTCGATGCATTATGGATCAAAACTCCAATCACCGAATACGATTTTACTCTCTCAATTTTCGAAGTTACCTATGTGCCATGGAATGATGTGATTTCTGAACTGTGGAATATTTATGGAGGAGAGAGAGCAGGAAGTATATTCAAGAAAGATGGCACTGCACAACATTTACTCATTAATCCAACCAGTACTGGTCTGACTGATTTCATGTTGCACATTCATTACAAGATTAAGGAAAACGCTGTGATTGTCTATTTCTGTAAAAAGAAGCTTGCACAAGAACCTGAACCACTTCACGACCATATTCATACCTCTGCTGCCATGATGAAATCTAATAAGACACCATCACCTGTAGTAAGGTACGACCAAAAAACAGATACTTCTCAAAATGGTATCTTAATTCCGAACCAAACAGAACGAGATTTTATTAGCTCTTTCGTTAATCATGTCTGCTATGTTCTGTATCGTCTTACCTTTTAGTTTCTATAGTGCCATGAAATAAATACGATAGTTTGTTTAAAAACCGTTAAATTTATTAAAAAAAAAATAATCCGCCTTAAGCCCTGCTTATCAACATACACATTCGGTCTTCCTTGATATTCCAACACCAACCATGGAAAAAGTGAATTCAATTTTGCACAAGTATCCCGATGCAATTGAGGTTTCTCTGGATCATTGTGCACTGAGAACTCTGGACGAAATTTTAGTAGATTTGTCCAAACTTAGGCACCTCAAAGTGTTGAGGCTATCGAACAACAATCTTCGGACATTACCATCTGACATGAGTGGACTGCAAAAGTGGAATACCTTGATCTGAGAAATAATTTGTTTGAGAGTGCTCAATCCGTTCTAGCTGGGCTTTTCTCTCTTCCCAACCTCAAACATTTGTACATTACCCTTGATGAGAAGGAAGAGGATGAAATCATCATTTCCTTGTCCAATTTAGAATCATTCAACGGAACTCGTAAGTAATACTATTATGCATATTAGCAATCGAGATGTATGTATGGATTCATGGTTTCTCAAACAGCCTTAACGGACCTTCCCGATGTTGATCCACCAATGTACTTTTCCTTGGCTGAGGAACCCAAAAGAGAGCCTTCTTCCGTGATGGTGGAACCATCTCAAGAGACTCAAGCAGCGATCCATGATCAAGTTGAACCCAAACCAGTTGCCTCTGAAGATTCAGCATTGCCCAAAGAGCCCAAACAGACAAATCAGACTGCTTTATCCAGTGCAGGTAACATGGGAGAGGGTATCGACTCGTCCAATGACGACTTGAAAGATCTCAAGAGACTCCACGATTCTGTTGGACTCTATCTAGGACAAAGAGCTCCGTTTGTTCCAAACAGCACTCCAATCCTCAAACAACTCAACAGGTCTAAAGAAACACCACAAGAAATGTTGAGTTACCAAATCGAATTATTGAATTGCAAAAAGCAGCTATTTGACTCGTATTTTGAGAACGTAATTGAAAAGATTTCAGAGTTTGATAAGAAAGCCTCCAGTATTCTCATGATTGTCAAGAATTCGTATTCAGACATGTGTGATTCATACTACTCAATGATCAAAACATTTTCTACTGATTGTTTCTCAAAATTAGCGACACTTCAGAAAGATCTGGATAGTGCTGATAAGGATATTGCCAACCTTCTTGAGGAAACTGAATCTCTCCAACAAGTTGCTTCTAAAAGCGAGGAGGCAAAGGCAAAATTGATTCGTCAGCACGAAGTAGAGCGAGAACAATTATCGGAAGAAATTGGAGCCTTAAAGCTTGAAATTGAAAGTAAGTATACAGTGATTGAATGTTTGTTCCAAATTTCTCAAATGAAATACTTTGCGTTTCCAATATAGAATATAAGAACCGATTGACCCAAGTCCAAGTTAATAGACAGCGCCTATCCATGCAAGTCTCACAAACACCACAACAAATTCTTTCTCAAAGTATGATAAAACCAAAAGAAACAAAACAAGTCAAGTTAAAACCTCTAAGTCTAAAACAACTAAAAGAAATTATTGAAGAAATCTATGCTTCAAAGCACAAGTTCGATCAAAAATGCCAAGAGAGCAAACTACCAAGAGAAACAATGGAACAACATTTGTATACCTTCTTGAATCAAAAGTACGGGCTTAAAACCTTAATTTTTGAATGGGCTACTGCCATCAATTTTGGAGTGAAAAGATTTTCAAGAGAAGACAATGATGTCAAAGTGTTCGGCAAAATTCTTAAAAACGAAATTGATGAGGAATTCAGATTTGTCCAAAAGCAGCTAAAGGATACAACCGCAGAACTATTGAAGGTATTTTTGAGAGGAAAATACAGCAAGAAGGTTGATCATGAAATCTATCAAATCATTCAAAATAGGTTGAATGGTGATCTTAATGAAGACGAATGGGTTGATATCATCAAGTACATGTACAACAAGGAAGACTCTCTCACAGTAATTATTCGTGTTAATGATGCCATTCTAGAGCATCAAAAACTTCAAATGTCCCTTGGATCACCTTCAACTTTGAATAAGAGTTTTGAAAAGAATACTAGAGTGCCTTACAAGATATTCCTAGAAGTATTGCTTGATTTCCAACTTGAATCTCACGAAAAATTCCTTTCCAAGTTTGTGAAAATGTTCAGAGAAGTCGACACCAACAAGGATGGAATTTTAAATCAACATGAATTGAAGCAATTATTAGCAACAATCAACCCTAACGGAACCGACGAAGAATTCCAAAATTTTGTTTCAATCATTGATCCAAACAACAATCAGCAAATCACTTTCTCTGAGTGTGTGACTTTCTTGAGCGCTGATTTGCTCAAGCTGGCTTCCGAAAGCTCGATGATTGTCATGTCAACAGCGTCCACCAATAATACCAACAAATCACAACAATTGGGAGCCAGTTCTCTTTCCATTAACGATTTGTGAACTAGTCATACCACGCGGGAGAGAAAATGTATTAGGAGAGGTGAATAAAGCTCCACTCGATGAGTCAAATATTAACGAAAAATTCGAAAGACGAAAGAGAAAACCAAGACAAAATTTTTGTTGAACAAAAAATAATTGAACACCCGAAACCCTAAATCCTCTCAATCACACAACAATTTTGCTCCTTTTCATCACACACACTCCTCCGCACGACATCAATGCCAGCCCACATCAAATTCAACTCAAATGGAACCAAAACTCTCAAAGATGCCAACGGAAATGTCTCCACTCTCTCTGCCTCATCAACAGTGCAGCTGAGAAAGAAGCAATCTGTTGAGACCATTTCACTCGCTGATACATCAGCCACACAAGGTGCTTTGGCAACATCACTCAAATTTGCAGACGTGCCACAAATACATCCACTCCTACTGAAAGCCATCAAGAAAGAATTCGGATTTGGAAACCATGACTCCTATTCAACAACTGACCATTCCAACTGCTCTCGGAGAGAAAGGAAAAGGTAAAGACTTTATTGCTCAAGCAGCCACAGGACAAGGAAAAACTTTGGCCTTCCTCATTCCATCACTCTCTTGCATGTTAGAAAATGAAAAGAATGTTCAAGGAATTTACATTCTCGTGTTGGCTCCAACAAGAGAATTAGCCTTACAAATTCAACAAGTTGCTGACAAACTCTTAAAACACACCGAATATAAGGCCGCTTGTGTCATTGGAGGAAACAAAGTCTCTGCGGAACAGGCTGAATTGGCCGATGAAAAGTAAGAGTCCTCATTGCTTCTCCAGGTAAATGTTTAGATCACATTCAAAGAGAGAATTTTGATCCTTCCCATTTGAAATATTTCATTTTGGATGAAGCAGATCGATTGTTGGACAGTGGTTTTGAAGAAACTTTGAAAAAGATTGTCATGCAACTTCCCAAGCAACGTCAAACTTATCTCTTCTCTGCAACCATGACGGATAAAGTTGAAGATTTGGCTCATATTTCACTCAAGAATGATATTGTGAAACTTGGTTTAGATGATGCAAATTCAAAGAAGGTTTCTACATTGGAACAAAAGTATTATCAAGTACCAAATGATAAGAAACTTGCAGCACTGGTTTCAGTGCTGAGAAATAATGTTGATAAGAAAATTATTGTATTCGTGAGCACCAAATTATCAGTTGAATTTGTGACTTGCGTTCTTGAAAATACTTCAAATATTGGAAAAGTTGTGCAACTCTCAGGTAACATGAACCAAAATAAGAGAAGTGAAATTTTCTTCCAGTTCATGGAAGATAAGAATCCAGGAGTACTTGTTGCTACCAATGTTGCTGCAAGAGGACTCGATTTCCCTAACGTTGATTTAATCGTTCAATTTGACATTCCTGAACAACCAGCCGATTATTTCCATAGAGCTGGAAGAACTGCCAGAGCTGGTAAGAAAGGTGTGTCTGTCTTGTTCTTGACTCCAAGAGAAAAAGAAGTTGCTCTCTCCTATTTTAACATGATGTTAAATAGTGACAAGGAAGAAGAGAAAGATTGGGAAAAACTTGAAGAATTAGAAAATAATGTCACAGATAGACAAATGAATGATATCCATAGGGAAGTGCAAAGTATTGTCTCGAATAATCAGTTGACCAGAGACGTCTTCAAACTTGTGAATACTTATGGAAGTGTTTTCAACATGTTTGCTAGAAAATTAGGTTTCAAAATGAATGATTTTGATGAAGAAGGATTAAAATCATCGTTTGGATTGGGAGGTAAAGGAGGAAGTGGCAACTTTAAGAAGAGCTTTGATAAATCCCAATCATTTAATAAGGGTGGATACAACAAGTTTAATAAGGAAGAAGAGAATGAAGAAGATTCTATTGAAACTTCCACAAATAATGGTAAAAGTGACCGCAATGGACATGACACCAATGGAGACTCCAATAATGAAGAAAATGGCTCAAAGAAGAGAGGTCTAATGGAATTTCTTGAATCCAAGAGCCCTAAGAACAATGGAAGTTTCAGAGGTGGACGAGGACGAGGCGGAAGGGGAGGAAATTCCTATTCAGGTGGAGGTTACAAAGGAGGAAGAAATAACTCTTGGTCAAACAAGTCATCGTCGTGGTCCAATAATAATGGCAATGGTGACAACTCAGAGTCTGTGAAACCAGCCCACAAGAAGCACAAGAAGTTCTAGACAATCTATATGAACCTATCCAATTGTTTTTAACTCGACGAATCTATCTCTCACAGTATAATGCTGACAAGTTGATTCTTCATCCCATTCTCTGCTCCCCTTCCTTGTTTTCATCCCACACACATTAAAATTCTGTTTCCTTTAAATCATATCACCATTCTCTTATGCATGTGCAACGCAGTTTTTGGGTGACGCCAAACCAGTTTCGATGGAGAAAAGGACTTTCGCTGGACTAATTCTAGTCCATTATCCAAGCGAAACTCAGCTCATTCAAACTGGTTGCGCACACATAGGACTACTTTGATATTTTGATTCTTCTTGAAATTGCATTCTTTTTGAAAAACACTCATCAAAAAATACAGGAATGGGTTTATTGAAAAATAAACAAATTATAGGTACTCAATTGTCCGACGATAGTGTGTCTAATGGGTGTGTAGGTGTGAGGTGTAGATGTTGTTGGAGTTGAGTTCGCCAAGCTGACTGCTAAATGTTTCCCAAGCAGTTGCAAATTTTGCAGTTTTGGGTTTAATTATATATCCTCTAGCCTTCTTGAGTACAGTTGAACTGTTCCAAGTGGCGTTTTTGTAACAACTGCCAACATAGGCAGCGAATGAGAGATATATTTCATTTAGCCAATCAGTCAAAGCTGGGGGAGATAAGTCTAATTGTTGAAGAGGTTCGTCTTTGATACTACCATTCCAATCCATTGGAATACAAGAGAGAGAATGGTTTGAGGGAAGTCTGATAAGAGGGGCATTGAATTTGAGGGAACTGTTGTCCCATTTTGTGTATAATGATTTGATTTCCGGACCACACATGGTGCATGAGGTGAATACATGTTCCCAGTTGGCTTTGGTATTGCAAATGTGGCAATTAGGGTAATCTTTTCCGAAATTTCTAAGGATTTCTGCTTTGTGTAGGTGAGCAAATAATAGTCGTTGTTGGAAGGGTTTGAGTGAATAATTGCTCCAAAAGGAGATGGTACATGGATGCCAGGTTCTATTATGGTCTAAGATTCCAAGGCCTGAGATGCTCATGGTTGATCTATCGTTGTTTAGTAATTCAGTTCTAGGGTCGACAGGGGTTTCGTATTCATTGACAAATGAATACCGTTCATCAATGTATTGGAGAGACCAATTATTTTGAGCAGCGATATTTTTCACGTGGTTCCAAAATGGTTCGTTAAAGGTAAGATCATTCCAAGCAGCCAAAGCAATATTTTTGGTGATGGTGGAGGAGGAGTTGAATAATCTAACTGCTGTGCAAATAGGTTCAATGAAGAATAAAGTAGAGGGGCGAGTAATACCAAGGCCCCCAATTTGTTTGCAATTAAAAATGACTGATTTTGATAATGTGTAATCTAATCCAATAGCCTTTCTGACAAAATTAGCAACCATAATATCTGCTTTGTCTAGAGAATTCTTATTGATTCCATTGAAACTACAGGCATATCTAGGCAAAGATATGATTTTGGACATTAATGTAGTGGTGATGCTGTTGAGATATAGATTAGAAGTTTTAGCTGATGCCAGTTGATTCGAGATTTTGTTGATTGGATTATCAGAGGACCAAGAAAAATCATTCTTAAAGGTACATATACCCCCAAGATATTCAATAGAAGAAGATGTGGCAATTATATCCTGTCCAATAGTGACTAGGGCCTTAGATAGTTTGGCTTTGGCTGTAATAGCTAAGAGTTTGCATTTCTTGGGAGCTAAAGCGAGTCCTATTTTCTTTAATTCACGGCCGAGGCTTTTTAGAGAGGAATTCATTTCGATCTTAGTATTAGCTATCAATAAAATATCATCGGCATATAATAATAAAAGGATGGTAATATTAAATATTTGAACTCCTTTAAGCTTTTCTTGTATGTTAGTTGAGGAGTTAATATAAAGATTAAACCATGCCGGGCTTGAAGGATCGCCTTGCGGAACTCCAACATTCGCATCGAAAGGGGAGGATAGAAATCCGTTGACTAGTACTTTCATAACGCTATTGGAGATCATGGATGTCAAGAGATTAATGACAGAGCTATGGAAACCATGTTTCTTGAGAATGCTGATAAATCTTTTATGGATTACTGATCCATAAGCATTTTTGATATCCAGAGCCATAGCAAATACTTCTTGTTTGTGCTGATATTTGTATGCAAAGGCAGTCCGAAGACTGATAAGGTGTTCTAATGTTGAACCTTTTTTCATGAATCCTCGTTGCGCAGTGTGGATTAAATTAGCCTCTTCAAGGACATTCATGAATTGTTTGTTGATAATAGAAGAAAATAGACGATAGATCACGGATAATACAACTATAGGTCTAAAGTCTGATAATTTTGAAGGCATGTTGATTTTGGGTAATGGGAGTAGAATACCGATACCCAATTCTTTAGGAACCATTTCACTGTCAATTGTGTGATTGATACATTTTGCAAGTATTTGGAGCGAATTGTTGTCTAGAATTTTCAACAATGACACCGAAATGTTATCATAGCCAGCCATAGAATTTTTTGTCTTAGAAATAACTTTATCCAACTCTTTGGCAGTGATATGATGGAATTTCCATTGGGCTACAGTATTGTTTTTCTTGATTTCCGGGAGAGTTTTAGTCACTTCTTGTTCTGTATTAAACATGGCTGAAAAATGATCTACAATTGTCGAGTTATGGTTACTTTGGACTACATTGAGTATAGAAGGACTGACTAGTTCTTTTCTGAAGGCATAGGAATACGGTTGTTTAGAGTTAAGATTGTTAATTCTATTCACAAAGACCCGTTTACGGTCAGCCAATAAAGATCCAATAAGCTTGTTGAGTGAGGTTTTAGCTTCCTCTAATTTAGCCTTGACATTGTTGAGGCTAAAATTATTGTTCAAAAATTGGCTGGTGATAGTAGAAACATGTTTACGCTTATAGAGATATTGTTTCAAATCGAAAATAAAAGTCTGAAATTGTCTGACATTACGATTATCAGTGATCAATGAGGGCTTGTTTGTGCTAAGAGAACCATATTTCTTCACAATTTTAGCAAGGGTATTTTGGGCTTCTAAAAGAGTGTCAGGGTTTTCCTTAGCAAAATCGTTATTAATTTCCTTCATCTTGGATTGTAAAATTTTAGGATGGATAATATATTTGTTGAACTGTTCTGGGAAGTCTAAAATGGGATTACTGGGGAAGGAGATAGTTAAAAGTTTGTGAGAATAAGCAGTAGGAACATCTTCTACACCAGAATAATCATTGTGGGAAGTAATAATATGGTCCGGGCGAGAAAAACCATGAGAGTATTTGTTGCGTTGAGAAAACGAAGGTGTGTTTGGAATAGGAACAACATCAAAGAGTTTCAATTTGTCACATTGGTCAATTAATAGTCGTTCATGGGCGGCATAAGATACCTTACTGAATGTTTTAGTATTGGCATTCAAATCTCCCAATATGACAATACGTTCACCATGAAAGACCGCTGTTTGAGCAGAAATGTTGATAATATTGAGAGCCTTATTCATGAATTCTAGTTTGTTTTTGTTAGCCGGGCCATACCAATTGAAAATGCGAGCCACACCTAGGTATTTATGTTCCAAAATGACTTCTGATAATCTGCCTTGAATATGTTCGACGAATTGGAGTACCTTAATAAAAGGTGACGGTCTGATAATAGTAGCAATTCCTGCTCCATTATCACCTTCAGTGGCGTTGGAATTGTAAACTAAGTAGCCACGAAAGAAGGATCTGAAATACCATATATTCCAATAGTCTTTCGTACTGGATTTTAAATGAGTTTCCTGGATATTAAGGACATCCAGTTCATATTTGCGGGCTAAGGTAAGTAATTGAGATTGTTTTACCCAGCCAACTCCTCCAAAATTAGCAGTACCTAAATTGAAGGAGTTTCTTTTTAGAATGAGGGTCCATTAAAGGGAATGTCGGCCCTTCTTATGCCCACTTTTACCCTTGTTGCGAGTAGTAGTACCTAAGAGAGCGTTGATTTTTTGATTAATTTCTTCAACAGCTTTGTTGATCTTATTAAAGCCTTCCGTGACCTTTTTACCAGACCAGACAACCATTTCCTTTGTCAATTTTTGGAGAGCTGATGACATTTCAGACAATTGTTTTTCAACAGCTTCCATTCTGTGACTGATAGAATTGGCAACTCTAGTAGAGAATGAGAGGTTTCTGAAACTATAATTACCAACTTGGACGAACTTGGTAATGTTATTGGTAATTTGATCTTTTTTAATACCAACAACAGCCATCTTCTTAGCCAACTCGATACTCTCAATCTTGACTTTCCAAAAACACTCATCAAAAAATGTCTGCGTCATCCTCTTCTGCCAATTCAACACTCCGAAAGTTTTTTCAATTTGAAGTGCTGGGCATGCTCGAATCGGTCTTTAAACAAAAGACTGGATGTCCTCGTCAATCACTCATCGTACCAAAAGCAAGAGGAAGATTAGCATTAAAGTTTGGAGGATTTACAAATAACACACAACATTTTGTCGAAGGTTTAGAGGGTTTCTCTCATATATGGTTGTTTTGGATATTCCATCAAAATAATAATTTAGCTGAGGAGACTACAATCATTACCAATGATCATCAAAACAATGAAGGAAATAATAATGGAATTTCATCATCGGAGGTCATTAAATTCAAAATGATGGAAAAGGCCAAAGTTCGGCCACCTAGACTTGATGGTAAGAAAATTGGAGCATTGAGTTGTCGTTCGCCCTATCGCCCGAATCCAATGGGAATGAGTGTCGTTAAATTGGACAAAATTGAAAGAGATGAAAATAATAATGCAGTTTTACACTTGTCTGGAATTGATTTAGTCGACCAGACACCCATCGTTGATATTAAACCTTACATTCCAGAGTATGATATGGTTTTACAGGATCCATTATCATTTCCAATTTTGAAGGATTTAGTGATGACTTATTCGGATGAAATTAAAAAACGAAAATTAGAGAATGAAATCAATAAGGACAATGATGAAGGAAAAGAACAGAACACTCTCTCGCCACCCTCCTCTTCCTCATCAAGCGAGGATTCTGTGGATTCTGCACAGTGTGAATTTTTGCCAAAATTGCCGATTGGATGGAAAATATGCCACGAAAACAACGAGAAATCACAAACGTACATTTTTCAGAAAAGTCTCTCCAAATGATTGACTCTCTGATTAGAAAATCCACCTTCTATGATAAGGTCGAAGATGTGAAAGAATTATTTGAAGATTTAATCAAATTGGATCCAAGAAGTAAATACAGAAGAGACAAGTGTCAGGAGGAACTTTTTGGAATACATGTGGATGTATTTAATTTATTGTGTCGAGTGAAAGACAATGTTTGCACCATTGAAGACATTGAGGATTGGAGTCAAGGATGTCCTTATTCGAAAGAAGAGTTAAAAGAAAGAACTCGCCAAGAACGAAATGCTGTGAGAGAAAAGAAGAAGAATTTACAAGAAAATAATCACAAGAATGAGGATTGTGACCTTTCTACAGAATAAAGGTTTGTATGGTGGAATTTAGATCTTAGAAACTGTTCTGATCTGTACTTCCTTCAATATCGTATTGCCATGAATGGAAATGGATGACAGAAATCATACCCTTCTTCTAAATTAAAGTTGAAGCATTTCATAGGTGCATATGATTCCATTAATACCACAACTTCAATTCTCTAATTGCACGAAAGGTCAATCTCTCAATAAATATTATTGGACAAACCTCATTCCCTCAATGATACATTCCACAGTTTGTAATACTCATTCCACACATGGTTAAATTTCTTCATTTGCTTCATGGGTTTCCATTCGATTGAAAATCTCCTCTTGGATCCCGCAGAAAGGGACTCGAAAGGAATGAAAGCGAAAAAAAAATGTCTTCATCATCATCCTCGCAAGAACAACAAACCACCATGGAATCCGTAACCGAGCAATTTGAGCAAACCCATCTCTCTTCAAGCTCTCAACAAACAAATCCTATCACTGTTGAACTCACTGAAGAACAAGAAGAAAGATACAAGCTTATAAGAAGCGTCGGTGAGGAATGTATTCAAGAAGATGAATTACGCAATCTCATCAAGAATAAGAAGGAGCAAATTATTTGCTATGACGGATTTGAACCATCAGGACGTATTCATATTGCTCAAGGTGTTATGAAGGCCATCAACGTGAACAAACTCACCAAGGCTGGATGTAAATTTATCTTTTTAGTTGCCGATTGGTTTGCTTTGATGAATAACAAGATGGAAGGAGATTTGGAGAAGATTCAAACGGTCGGTAAATACATGATTGAAGTTTGGAAGAGTATTGGTATGGACCTGAACAATGTTGAATTTGTTTGGAGTAGTGAAATTATCAACAAGGATCCAAACACTTATTGGTTATTAGTTCTCGATATCGCCCGTGAGAACAATCTGAAACGTATTGTTCGTTGCTCTCAAATTATGGGTCGTGATGAAGCAAGCGATTTGAGTGCTGCACAAATCTTTTATCCTTGTATGCAATGTGCAGACATCTTTTATTTGAAGGCCGACATTTGTCAATTAGGTATGGATCAAAGAAAGGTGAACATGTTAGCTCGAGAGTATGCTGAAACAAAGAGAAAGGACAAAAAGACCAAGTCCAAGTTTAGATTTTCACCAGTTATTCTCTCTCATCACATGTTGCCAGGTTTGGACGGAAGTACAAAGATGGCCAAGTCAAACCCAGATGCTGCTATATTTATGGAAGACAGTGAGACTGAGGTTAGAAGAAAGCTCAAGTCTGCATTCTGTGAGCCAGGAAACATTGAAAAGAATCCACCGCTCGAATATATTAAGCACATTGTTTTGCCAATGAAGGGACAATTCAAGGTTGAAAGAAAGGAAGAAAATGGAGGTAACAAGATCTACACCGATTTTGCAGAACTTGAGAATGACTTTAAGGAATTGCATCTTCACCCTGGTGATCTGAAACCAGCTTTGGCAGAAGCCATCAATGATATTCTTGCTCCTGTTCGTGCCCACTTCAAGAATGATCAAAATGCCAAGAGTTTGTTGGAAAAGGTTCAAAAGTTTAAGGTGACTAAGTAAATTAAAATATCAATCGTCCAGATGATAGTCCTTAATTTTCATTACATATATCTTTGCCTTGCCAATTTGGTGGAGATTGAGAAAATTGTTTCGTTCCACGCTTTAATGAATGTTCTTATGAAGTAGCAAGAATATACATTTACTACACTTTACTCTATTTACAACTGTAAAAACACATGTAGGAAGTGTAACAATGATCCACTCATTAACATTGACAACCAGAGCCACTGCTTGGTCGTTGTTGCTCCGAAGGTTGAGGCTTATTATCGAACGTGATTGTTGAGCTGTCTTTCTGTTCTTCTCCTTGCTGTTTGTGCATTTCAGCATGGTTTTCCAAAATCTTCTTCACTAAAAAGTTGGCAGCTTGATTAATGTTTTTGTCGTCTTTTGCACTTGTTTCAAACCATCCAATAAATCCATTTTCTTGGCAATATTGATCCATTTCTTCCTTTGTCTTTGTGACAGCACTTGGAAGGTCACATTTGTTGGCCAGTAAAACGCAAGGAATTGGACGCTCATCAGGAAGGAACACCTTATGCTCAATGTCACTCTTCCATTTTTGAACTGCTTCAAATGTTGGTGGGCGTGTAATGTCATAAACAACAAAAGCGCCAACAGCTTCCTTGTAGTACACTCTAGTCATGGATCCAAATCTCTCCTGTTTAACAGAAGAAAATCATGATGATGTTAAAAATCCAATACGGAAATAATAGTTTCATCCGAAGAAAATTTTGCACAAAGATATTGTTAATGACATTGTGACAAAATAGCAACAATTACAAATCCATACCTGTCCTGCAATATCCCACAATTGAAGCCTGATAATAGTATTATCATCCCAATTCAAAACTTTGAGAGCAAAATCAACTCCAATCTGTATTCACGAACAACATTACAGTAAATTTTCACAAAGTATCATAATCACGTGAAAATTCATGGTTGTGCCGATGATACACAGCAGCAATTGTGTTCAAACAACGACACGTCATGAGAAAAAGATATTTTCAAAACATGAGATAATATTAATCAAAATTCAAGCCATCAACAAGATGAATGCCATCCATTGGCGATGATGATGATGGTGAACAATTGAAAGATGGATGAATTTAAAGCTAGAACAAAACTTTCTCCACTAAAGACTTACAGTTGACTTGTACGAATTGGAGAAAATATTATGTACATATCGTTTGATAATACTTGTCTTTCCGGTACCAATATCACCCACTACTAGAATTTTATACAAGTATTCTTGTACTTCTCCTCCGTTTGTGTTGTTTGTTGTTGTCATGTTAAGATTTTTTAGTTATTGTCTATAAATGTAGTATTGCGTCGTAGGATGGAAGATGAAGGTGGGATGCCGCATTATATAAATTAAATGATTATCGGATCATCATCAATTCATAATGAAATTCATTTTCAAATCAAATTGCCATTATTTAGTTTCATCATTAATGATTGAATCAATAACCATAACCGAACAATTTCACCATCATATAAATATTAATTGTTTGAATAAACAAGGCTCATTCAGGATCAGCATCATCATACCTACCCACAAAAAGTCCTTTTCAGATTTTGTTTGAATTGAGGAGAAGAAAAAATTGAGGAGTTAAGAGAAGGAGTTATCGAATAGCTTTTTTTCTTTGTTCTTTGCAACGGTCGATCCAAAAAGAGCGGACAGTGATGGTTCAGAACTCCGAGGAGCTCGTGCTGTGTGGTGCAACGACACTGGTGCACACTCAATGAGGACTTTTGTCTGGTTGTTGGAAAGTAATACGTATATATTGGAGGATCGCATGAAACACACGTAATCAACCTTTTATTTTACTTCTTCTTCATTTGAGCCAGAATGTTGTCAATACCATTATTGATGGTGGTCATGTATTTTTGTTGATAGTGAGCTTTCTGTTCTCGTTTCATTAATTGCCTCTCTTCATAACCTAAAAGATCGAGTGAGGATCTCTTTGAGAATTGGTCAAATACTTTTGCATGTAATTTGTATGATTTCAACATATTGATGGCAATTTCGACTCGATTCATCTTTTTCGTATTGGTAAGACCTAGCAATCGAGAGAGAATGAGAGGAATGTTGGTCAGAGTAGTTGTGTCATATTTCTGTTCAGTGTTTGGATCCACAACACCAACATCTCGAAGCTTTGACTTGAATTCATGAACATTTCTTGGTCCAAAAATTCCAATCAAGTTATGGAAAATGGTATGTCCCACTATTACAAAGGTCTTTCTTAATATTTTGCTCACATGATCACGAATGGTCATGAGGGAGTATGTCACTTCTCCGAGACCACTCAATTGACTGGTTGTATCGGCAGGATCTTCACCAGAGTTTAGCAAGTTCTTCACTTCCTCAGAAAGGCAATGATAAACGACTTCATCTTTCTCATTAATGATGACAATATATTTAATCATCATTCCCTTTGGAGTCTTTTCTCTCTCGCAATGTAGACAAATGGTTTTAGTAATGGGTGCCTTAATGAAGGGCATCTCATTATCACCTGTAAATGCTTGTTGTTGTGTTTGTGAGGTGGCTTGATGAGGAGATGATGCGGGTGTAGAGATTGCTGCTACAGGTTGATGTTTGTTGATATATTGCTGCTGTGCAGTGTTGTCATTTGTGGTATTGACAATCTTGCTTTCATACTTTTTTTTGAACTCGTCACTCTTTTGCTTTTTAGAAAGAACCTTCTCCAAAATCGAGTACTGTTGCTCACTTGTTTTCACAAGTCTCTCTTCATCAATGTCCTGATCGTCTTTTTTT